TCTGATGTCACTGAAGAATTAGAGCTTGGGCCAAGAAAGATCAGGTGTAGGAAGAAGTAGGAATGGCTCCAAACAAAAGTGAAATCTGCAGAAGTAAATTAGGAAGGAAATGCGTAGTGCAAGTTTTGACACATAGGAGTATTAATGGGGCTCATTTGCTGTCCGTGAGAAAAACAGCATATGCTAATAAAGTCTGAATTCCAAGTTCATTGAAGACCATGATCTGCCGAGATCCTGAAGAATTGTCTATGTATCTATCTTCCCAGTCTGAGCTTATTGACCCCTGTAAAGCAAGCAGAATGCTATAGAGAACTGGAGTCAGACAGATATAAGGTAAAATCTGGTTTCATAACCTGTGTGGTCTCAGTAATTTAAATCAGCCCTCTGAACATTAAATAGTTATTCTCTAAGAAACAGTGATAGTGTATGTCTCAAAGTATTATTGTCAGTATTAGATGAAAAAAATTATCTTGAGGGGTCTCCCTGGTGGTACAAGGGTTAAAGTCTCAGTACTATCAAGCTATTCTTCAGTCACTACTGCATGAGATCCATCCCCAGCGAGGGAGCTAACCCACATGGCACAGCAGACCTCTCCTGTCTCACCCACTGCTCCCTCAGCAATGTATTTCAGTAGATCTGCCTAATCCATTCTGTCTCTGGTGAATCCTCTCACCCCGCACACTGCTGGCCTACACCCCATTTCCTGTATGCATAAAAAAAACAGTAAATCTTTAAAAAAATTATCTTGATTTTAAATGCTAGGTATTATAACCACCTTTGGATTGCCTAAATTCATTTCATTCTTATTGTTTTTTTGTAATTTAAGTAATATTAGTTTATAGTTCTATATATATGATTCAGACATACAGAGTCACATTTTACACCACATCCATCAACAAAGCATACAAAATACATTATATAGGACATTTGGACCCCTCCCTCAATTTCCTTCACCCTCACCTTCTCCCTCTTGTAGCCTCAAGTCTACAGTCAGGTTTTTAGAGTTTATCTGGTATAGTTTTGTCAGTTTCTTTATTTTGTTTCTCTTTATTACACACATGTATGAATGAATCATATACACATATGAGAGAAATCAGCCCTCATTTGTCTTTTTCCTTCTGACTTATATTTCTGCACACAACCCTCTTCAATTTCTTCCATGTTGTCGCAAATACCAATGATCATCTTTTTTTTATTCCTGAGTTGTGTCCCATTGTGTATAAATTCTGATACTGTAATTTTGGGTTTTTGGGTCTAGTTCCCCAACCAGAAACTGATCAAAGGTTGCAGTGGCAGTGGTGAGTCCTAGGTACTAGACCACCATGGGCTGGTGTCTAATAAAACTGCAGCAGCAACTTTGCTGGCTCTCAGGCAAGTAAGTGAAAAGAGGTGAATTTGTCTAGAGAAATAGATACAAGGAATTATTAATGTGAAAAGGAACAGAAATAAAGTGGAATTCCCAGACCAGTGGAACCAGGCCAGGGAGGGGCAAGGAAACTGAAGTGGAGTCTTGCCTCAGGGAATATATGCCTTCTTTCCCCAATTATTATAAAGTGCCCTCAGTCTCTTTGTGATAGGTTAGTTCTCCATGGTCTCACCCACTCTGTCTTAATGTCTCTGTGCCCAGAATTACATCTTACACCTCAGCTCTTATCTAAGAGTCCCTTTCTTCATCGTCTTTGTCCAGCAATGTCCTGCTGCCCCTATTTGGGGGGGTATTTGATTAGTCCCCTTTGGGTTTTATTGCCTTTATCTATGGAGCCTTCTTTATTCCTACAAGGCCTTTTCCTATTGTATTCTGACCCTAGAAGCTATCCACTCAATACTCATCTTCTTAATCCACTTATCTGTCATTGGATACTTTAGGTTGATTCCATAACTTGGATATTGTAAAGAGTGGTCCAGTGAATATGTGAATGCCTATATCCCTTCAAATTAGTGTTTGCATTTTTTGCAGCCCTATTTATAATAGCCAAGATATGGAGACAACACAAATACCCAAAAACAGATGAATGGATGAAGAAGATGTGGTATATAAACTCATTGATCAAAAATAAGATTAAACTCGGGCCTCCCCGGTGGCACAGCGGTAGAGCGCTGGGTTGCGAAGCTGCCCGCGGCCTCTGCGGCGCCGGTTCGATTCCCGGCTGCTCCCCGGCCACCGGAGGAGGGTCCCACATGGTGCGCAGACCTCTCCTGCCACCCGCTGCTCCCCTCAGCAGTGTACTTCGGTCCTTCTGCCTGCTCTGCTCCCCGCTCTGGCTCTGGTGAATTCTCTCACCCTCCCGCGCTTCTGACTGTACCCAGTGCATGTATAAACAAAAACAAATGAACAAACAAATAAATAAATAAATAAAACATGCCTCTATAAAAAAAAAAAAAATAAGATTAAACTCATGCCATTTGTGGCAACATGGATGGAGCTGGAAGGAATTATGCTAAGGGAAATAAGTCAGAAGGAAAATGATAAATATCAAATGGCTTCACTTATGTGTGGAATATAGAGAAACCAAAGGGTCAGGAAAAGATAAAACTTGCAAGCTGAACATAGATTTGTGAACATACAGCATGAGAGGGGTATGGAGAGGGGTCAAAACAGGAGAGGGAAGAGCACAAGAGACAGTGAAGATGGATCATGAGTGCTATGGTTGTGGGAGAACCAAGGGGACTACACCTGAGGAGAGAAATCAAATACTGCCCCAAAATTAACAATGATATAAGAATATATTTTTTTAAGATTTTTATTTATTTATTTATTTATTTATTTATTTATTTATACAAGCACTGGGTACAGTCAGAAGCACGGGAGGGTGAGGGAATTCACCAGAGCCAGAGCAGGGAACAGAACAGACAAACTGACAAAATACACTGCTGAGGGGAGCAGCAGGCATAGCAGGTCTGTGCACCATGTGGGACCCTCGCCGGAGGCCGGGGATCGAACTGGTGCTGCAGAGGCTGCGGGCAGCTTTGAAGCCCAGCGCTCAACTGCTGTGCCACTGGGGAGGCCCAAAAACAAATTTAATTTAAAAAAATCTCAGTTACTGTTTTTTCATAAGGGTTGGATAAGTATACATTCACATCAATTGTGTATGAGGGTTTCTTCACACCCTTGCCAACATTTATCATTTTTATATGGGCCATTCTCACAGCTATGAGGTGGTATCTCATCGTGGCTTTGATTTGCATTTCCCTGATGATAAATGATGATGAAAATGTGTTTATACACATGTTGGCCATTTCCATGTCTTGATACCCAGTTTGAGATGATTCTCATTTATACTGCATAATTTGGAATAGATAGAGTATTTTTCAAAAGTATTTTTTTTTTTTTTTTTTCAGAAAAAAGGCAAGGAGAGAAATGCTACAAGGAAGTTCTCCCATAAAAACGATTAATAGTGGGGCCTCCCTGGATGTGCAGGCGGTTGAGTGCAGCGTTGTGAACCTGTCGACAGACTCCATAGCACAAGTTCTATCCCAGCAGGCCGGCAAGATACCCACATGGCATGGCAGACCTCTCCTGTCTTGCCTGCTGCTCCCCTCAGAAGTCTACTGTTTTTGGTCAGTCTGCTTGTTCTGTTCCCCGCTGTCTCGAGTGAATCCTCTCACCCTCCTACACATCTGGCCTGTACCCTGAATCTTGTATAAATAAATAAATCTTTAAAAGATAAACGGGTGACTCTGGCAAACTGCCCAAATAGGAAAGTTGCAATAAAAGAACATGAGAAGAGAGGAAAGCATCAGAACCCTGCTACCCTCCCCCACCCAAAAAGCTGGTACACTTGACCAACAAAAAGGAGAAAAAAAAAAAGAACAAACTAAAGATCAAGAGGGACAATGAGTGGAAAAGGACTACTGTAGGCACTGCACCCCATGAATGGAAACTGTGGAGAACCATGCAGGAATTGCCATGGAGGTGAGAAAATGGCTCCTTGTGCCATTGGAGGAAGCTAAGAACTCTGTGGAGAGACCTGCAAATTCCCAAACGCCAGCTGGTAATCTTGTACAGAAAGCATGCATGCTCGAAAAGCCTATGCGGGGAGACACACGGGAGCCATTAATGAGATAAATGACCCACCGTGAGTAATCAAAAACCAGGCTCCTGGGCAAGGGAGCAGGCACCATCTCTGCATACACTGAACTGGGCTACCACCAGCATCCTGGATCTGAGGGAATCAGAGCTAAGAACCGGGGAACAAAATTTGGGGTATGGGATCCCTATGATGCACAGGACAGACACAGCACCCCAACGCTGTTGAGGTAATCCATGCCACCCCACTCAGTTCCCTGGAAGCCCACGGGAAAAAAAATCACAGATCCAGAAAAATACTAGGAAAGATCTCTGGTGCCACCTAGTGATCTGAACAAAATCACCAACTTCCTGATAGTTGGAAGCTAGGGATTCCAAAAGGCATGGAGCAAGACCACATTCTGGAACTGAGAGCCAGGCACAGGATCCTGGGTATGGGATGCGCCATAACAGCAGACACTGAACAGGGTGACAGCCAGTGTTTTGGATCTCAGAGCCCTGGAATTGAGAACTAGAGGGCAGAAATCAGGATGCAGGATCCACACAGCTGCGGGCACAGCACCGCTTTCACAGGGCAGACACAGCACCCAGTGTGAGCAATAGCCCCTGTGATGAGGTGCTCCCATGTCCCCCTCCATTTCTCAGAACTACAGGGGAAAAACACAGGTCGCCAATTACAGGTCTCTGGTGCCATCTAGAGACCAGAGCAAAATCACCAACTTGCTGATTCACTGCTGAATTGAGTAAATCCAGAAGCAGGGAACTGTAAGAGATAGTGCCCAGAAACACTGCTACAGCATCAACACCCTGGTGGAGTGTTTTGTTTTGTTTTGTTTTTTAAGATATATTTATTTATTTATACAAGCACTGGGTACAGTCAGAAGCGCGGGAGGGTGAGAGAATTCACCAGAGCCAGAGTGGGGAGCAGCAGGCAGAAGGACCGAAGTACACTGCTGAGGGGAGCAGCGGGTGGCAGGAGAGGTCTGCACACCATGCGGGACCCACCTCTAGTGGCCAGGGAGCAGCTGGGGACCAAACTGGTGCTGCAGAGGCTGCGGGCAGCTTTGCAACCCAGCGCTCAACCGCTGAGTCACCGGGGAGGCCCCCTGGTGGAGTTTTGGCCTGAGAATGCTGGTCTCAGTCTCTTAAACAGTTTCCAACACACCAGAAGGAGCAATCCAAAGAGATGCCAGCCAACACCAGTGGCACAAAGTTTTAATGCATAGAACTAATTAGAAAGCAAACAGCAGGGAGAAGGAAAAATATAAATAACCAAGCAAGCCCGCAGAAGAAGGACACACCACGAAAAGAAAATAAGTTGCCAGAAGTCAATAACAATGACATGGAAGAACTTCTCTTTCTGTAAGATAAAGAATTTAGAATCACCATGATTAAAAAGTATAATGATATGAGACAAATAATCCATGAACTGAAGAACTCAAATGAGACATTAAGAAAGGAAATAATAGAAAAGGAGGACTAAAAGATTACCAGAGGAGACAGAGAGCTCTTGGAAAAGCATTGAAAACAAAATCAAGGAAATGGAAAAAGGGATCAGTACTCTTGAGGATACATAAATAAAAAAAGAACCAAAAGAGAAAAGGAGAGAAACAAAAAGGAAGAAGTATGAGGAGACCCTTAAGAGTTATAGGCATTCCAGAAAGTGAAGAAAGAGACAAAGGATCTGAGAAATTATTCAAGGAAATAATTGAAGAAAACCTCCCAAACATGGGAAAGGAGATGAATATAGACACACAAGTAGCAATAACTAACAATTACCACAATGAAATGAATATTACAGCAAGACACATAATAGTAAAGCTTACAAGAGTCCAAGACAAGGAAAAAATAATGAAAATGGCAAGGGGGAAGAAACAGATAACTTATAAGGGAAAATCAATGAGGTTAATTAACCTCAGACTTAATTAGTCTGAGGCAAGTGAGAATGGAGTAACATATTCAACAAACTTCAAAACAGCAAATGCCAACCAAGAATACTTTATCCTGCAAAGCTCTCCTCCCTTTATGAAGAAAAACTATGAACTTTACAGACAAATAGAAACTCCAGAAATTCATAACAACAAAACCCCCACTCCAAAAAATTCTTCAAGAAGACCTAAAGTCAAAACCAACAGAGGAATGAACAAGAACAGAATAAAGTGAGGAATAAAATCACAATAAAGACAAAATGGCAAATAGAGATGCCAACGTACCAATATTAACTCTAAATGTAAATGGATTAAACTCATCAATAAAAAGACAGAGAGTAACACATTGGATTAAAAAACATAATCCAACTTTCTGCTGTCTCCAGGAAACACATTTAACCACAAAAGATAAACATAGACTGAAAGTAAAAGGTTTACTGAAAGTAAAAGGAAAACAATCCTACAAGCAAATGGTCCAAAAAAGAAGGCAAGAACACCTATACTTATATCAGATGAAATAGACTTCAAATTTAAAAAGGTAAAAAAAGAGATATAGATGGACACTACAAATCATAAAGGGAAAAATACACCAGGAAGCTATAACACTCATCAACATATACTCACTAAATGAAGGAGCACCAAAATATATTAGACAGTTATTATCAGATCTGAAAAAGGACATTAAAGAAAATACATATGTAATAGGAGACTTCAACACTCCACTCTCACCAATGGACAGATCAAGAAGAAAAAAATAAACAAAGAACCTAGAGCCCTACATAAAGATATAGAACTCATGGACTTAACAGACATCTATAGGACACTGTACCCAAAAAAAATTGACTCTACATTTTTCTCAAGTGCATATCATTCTCCAAAATCGATCAAATACTGGGCCACAAGACAAACATCAACAGATACATGACGATCAATATCATTCCAACTATCTTCTCCAATCATAAAGGCATCAATCTAGAAATAAATCATGAAAAGAAAACAAGGTGCCTTCCCACTTCATGGAGATTGAAATTCACACTATTGGAAGACTACTGGACTAATGAGGAAATCAAAGAAGAAATTAAAAAATACTTTAAGTTGAACGACAAGGAGGACACCACTTTCCAAATTGTATCAGATGCAGCAAAAGCACTAATAAGAGGAAAATATATAGCAATACAGGTTCACATCAAGGAAATGAGAAAGAACTCAAAGAAAATCTAATCTCACACCTCAAAGAGCTAGAAAAAGAACAATAAAAAACCCCTAAAGCCAGTAGAAGAAAGGAAGTAATAAAAATCAAAGCATAAATAAATGAAATAGAAATTAAAAAAAAAAAATTCAAACGATCATCAAAACCAAAAGTTGGTTCTTTGAAAAAATAAACAAAATAGACAAACCTCTAGCCAGGCTCACAAAGAAAAAGCAGGAGAAAACACATATAAATAGGATTATAAATGAAAGAGGAGAAATCACAACAGACTCAGTAGAAATCAAAAGAATAATTAGAGATTACTATGAATACCTATACCAAACAAATTTAACAATCAAGAAGATTGACAAATTCCTAGAACGATTTAACCATCCAAAGCTGGATAAAGAAGAAATGGAGCACCTAAACAGACCAATTACAAGCTGCAAAATTGAAGCAGTATCAAAGAACACCACAAAAACAAAAGCCCAGGCCCAAATGGCTTCACAAATGAATTCTACCAAATGTTCATCACTGAATTAATGCCTATCCTACACAAACTCTTTCAAAAAATTGAAAAAGAAAAAAATGCTACCAAAATGTACTATGAAGACAACATTACACTAATAACAAAACCAAAGAGAGACAGCACAAAAAAAAAAAAAAAAAAAAAAAAAGAAAGAAAGAAAGTTACGGGCCTGGGCCTCCCTAGTAGCAGAAAGGTTTAAGAAACAACCTATGGAAGTGATCTGCAGCCACTGCAGCACAAGTTCCATCCCCGGCCAGGGAGATGACCCACATGGCACAGTAGACCACTCCTGACTGGCCTGCTGTTCCCCTCAGCACTGTATTTTGGTCAATCTGTCTGTTCTGTTCCCTACTCTGTTTTTGGTGAATCCTCTCACTCACCACACCTCTGGCCTGTACCCCAGTTCTTGTATGCATAAATAAATAAATCTTAAAAAAAATTACAGGCCAATCTCCCTAATGAACACTGATGCAAAAATCCTCAACAAAACCCTTGCAGAAGAATCCAACAATGCATCAAAGGGATAATACACCACCAACTAGTGGGAATCATCCCAGCGGCACAAGGATGGTTCAGCATGTGAAAATCAATCAGTGTAATCCAACACGTCAACAAAAAGAAAAATAAAAACCATATAATAATATCAATAGATGCTGAGAAAGCATTCATCAAAGTCCAACATCCATTGTGATGAAGTGACTTGAAATTCTAGGGATAAAAGGAACATGCCTTAACATGACAAAAACCATATATGACAAACACAAACTGCCAATATTATTCTCAATAGAGAAAAGCTGAAGGTCTTTCCTTTAAGATCAGGAACAAGACAAGGATGTCCTCTTTCACCACTGCTCTTCATATAATACTGGAGATCCTAGCCAGGACAATAAGACAAGAAAGACATACAAGGAATCCAAAAAGGGAAAGAAGAAGTAAAACTATCACTATTTGCAGACTATATGATAATATACATAGAGAACCCTAAAAGCTCCAGAGAAAAACTACTCAAAATATTCAGCCAGTTTAATAAAGTAGCAGTATACAAAATCAACACGCAAAAATCAGTAGCCTTCCTATACACAAACAATCTGAAGAAGAAGAAACCAAGAAAACCATTTATTTTATAATTGAAATTAAAAAAAATCAAATAATTGGGAATAAACCTAATAAAAGAGGTAAAGGACCTATACAAAGAAAATTATAATACACTGTTAAAAGAAATAAAAGAAGAAACAAAGAAATGGAACAACATCCCCTGCTCATGGATTGGAAGAATTAACATTATTAAAAATGTCCATCCAACCAACAGCAATATACAACTTCACTGCTATTCCAATAAAAATTTCAATGACATTCTTCAAAGAAATAGAACAAATACTGATGAAATTCATAAGGAATCACAAAAAAAAAACTGTGAATAGCCAAAGCCCTACTGATGAAGACAAAGGAGAAAGGAGGTATCACTCTTCCAGTCTTCAAGGTATGCTATGAAACCATAATAATTAAAACAGTTTGGTATTGGTATAAAAATAGACACACAGACCAATGGAACCAAATAGAGAGCCCAGAAATAAAGCCACATTTATACGGACAACAAATCATTGACAAAGGAGCAAAGAATATGCAATGGAACATGGACAGTTTTTTCAATATGAGGTTCTGGGAAAACTGGACCACCACATGCAAAAAAAAAAAAAAAAAGAAAAAGAAAAAGAAAAAGAAACTAGACCACTACCTCTCGCCGTGCAAAACAATCAACTCAAAGTGGATAAATGAACTGGACATAAGACCTGAAACCATAAAATATATAGAAGAAAATATAGGTAAAAGACTACAATACATACATCTCAGTAACATCTTTAAAGACTCATCACCCAAAGCAAAGAAAGTCAAGGAAAAGATAAACACCTGGGATTACATCAAACTGAAAACATTCTGTACAGCAAAAGAGACATTAAGCAAAACAAAGAGGCACCCACTGATTGGGGGAAAAAAATGCACTCCATACAACTGATAAGGGACTGATCACCAAGATATACAAAGAACTCACAGGACTCAACAAAAACAAAGTAAACAATCCAGTCAAGAAATGGGCAGAAGAACTTAAAAGACATTTCTCTAAAGAGGAAATGCAAATGACTAACAGGTGTGTATGAAAAAATGTTCAACACCCTTTATAATCAGGGAAGTGCAAATCAGAATTACGTTGGATACCACATTACACCTGAAAGAAGGGCACGTATTAAAAAAAAAAAAAACTAGCAACAACAAATGTTGGCAAGGATATGATGAAAAAGGAACTCTCCTACATTGCTGGTGGGACTGCAAACTGGTCCAGCCACTATGGAAAGCTGTATGGAAAGCTTCAGTCTACTAGGGATCTACCCAAAAGACACAAAAACATTGATTAAAAAGAACACCTGTACCCCTATGGTTTTTACAGCACTATTTACAATAGGAAAAACCTGGAACAACCCAAATGCCCAAAAATAGACGACTGGATCAAGAAGATGTGGCATATGTACATAGTGGAATATATTCAACAATCAAATAAGATAAACTCATGCCATTCACAGCAACATGGATAGAGCTAAGAGGAATTATACTCAGTTAAATAAGCCAGAAGCAAAAAGAAAAATATTGGATGATTTCACTTATAGCAGGAATATAGGGGAACCAAATAAGACATCAGTGTAAAAAAGTAATAATGACACAAAACACAACAAATCAAAAACAGACAATTATAAATCAGAGACATACTGCAGGGGAGGAGGAGGGAGAGGGATTAGAGGGAGGGAGGTGGAGCACAGGGGACTGAGGAGATGGGCATGGGTGCATTGGTGAAGGAAAATATGCGACTACAACTGAGGGGGTTGGGGGAAGCAAATATTGTTTAAAAAGATCAATGCTGTAAAAAAAATAAGAAAATATAAAAAATAAAATGTAAATTAAAAAATTAAAAACTGGATATTCATTATCCTACATCATTATCATGTATGATATAAAGATAAACTCTTCAAATACTAGGACACTTATATTCGTGCTTTGGGGGCATTTGTAAGACAGATTCTTCTCATTTACACTCAATAGCCTCAGAAAAAAACGTTTATTTCTTATATCTCTATCATTTCTGTTTTTCCCCTCTTTCTCAAACTTTCAGATGTTGTTTCTTGATGATATTGCTATACCTGCTTCTATTACTCCTTTTCTAATTGTTTCCATATATCTACACTGGGAAACCAGATAACTAAACTTATTCAAATTATGTGTCATTAGTGGTTCTCTATTGTGGTACGTAAACCAGTGGCATCAATATCAATACAAAACATGTTAGAAGTGCACAATCTCAGACTATGATTTAAACATTGAATCAGAGAACTCGTGTTGATCCCAGCAATCTGTGTTTTAATAAACCCTCCAAGTAATTTTAATGTGCATTCAAGTTTGAGGATTACTGCCCTATTATATTTGCTAATAACATACATTGTTAGGTTTCGCTCTGAATATGTACTTGTGTAAGTCTTGTGTAGAACCCAAGAGCCTTTATTTTTTAACCAATTTCTCAGGTTAGTTTGATTATAGTCTAAAGATGCACTCAAGAGAAATGTTCCAAAGTCTAGACCAATGCTTATCAAACATAGCTTGGGATTTTGTTAATATTTACATTCTGCTTCAAAAGGTCTAGGGTTTAAAAATTCCAGGAGCTCTCAGATGATACTTTGAGTAGGAAGGAACATAAAAACTGTATAAGAAGGAACCTAAAACATTAGGCACTTTATGAATGTTTTTATTTTACTTTGTTTTTGATGCTTTTGACCCAGAATTTTTCTACAAGTAAAAACAGTATCGGTCTTCTTTGTTTTTGAAAAACATGCTATTTTCTCCAAAATCAAATATTTAAAAAGTATTATTCATAATTTTTAAATTAAAAAATGAAATATTTTTATACTGAGTTAATTGTCAAGTACAGAATGGAAAAACCCTCCTAGAAGTATAATATTTTAATGAATTATTTTATTATATATAATTCTTACATCATTTTTCATTTTTGCACAATGTATGCATTTTCATTTTGGTTATATTCCCCATACAATTCCCACCCCCTTTTTCTGACCCTAATCCCTCTTCTCCTCCCCCTGCCACACACTGTAGTGTGTCTCTGGTCTATAGTTGCTTGTTGATTTTGATTTTTACTTTATTGCAATTAGTCTTTTTCCTGGTCCCTTATTTTGGATTTCTAAGTTCCAGCTATGAGTGAGATCATCCAGTGTTTTTCTTTTTCTTTCTGGCTTATTTCGCTGAGCATGATCCCTTCCAACTCCATCCATGTTGCTGCAAATTACATGAGTTTATCTTTTTTGATTGCTGAGTAATATTCCATTGTGTATATATACTACATCTTCTTGATCCAGTCATCTATTTTTGGGCATTTGGGTTGTTTCCATATTTTGCAATTATAAATAGTGCTGCTATAAACATAGGGGTGCAGGTGCCCTTTGGAATTAATGTTTCTGTGTCCTTTGGGTAAATACCTAGGAGTGGAGTTACTGGATCATATGGAAGCTCTATTTTTAGTAGGTTGAGGAACCTCCACAGAGCTTTCCATAGTGGTTCGACCATTTTGCACTCCCACCAGCAGTGCAAGAGAGTTCCTTTTTCTCCTCATCCTCACCAACATTTGTTGTTACTAGTTTTTCAATATGTGCCATTCTCACTGATGTAAGATGGTATCTCCTGTGAGTATAATTGTATAAGCTTTCATCCTACATTCAGTGTAATTATTTTATTCTTCAAAGAGGCCTTTTAATCTATTCTTCTGTGCTTTAAGTATTCATCCACCAGAAAAAAAGGTGACAAATTTTTCGTACCACAGGAGTCAACATTCTATAACAGATTATATCATTCTATCTGGTACTGAAATAGCTGTTTCTCTTTCTCTAGTATAAGTTCTAGTGTCAGCATTTATCTCCTCTCTGATGGGTATTTACTTGACAATCCATGTTTTTTTCCCCATAGATGAGACCATTTTTTAACTCAGGATGAGCATCCTTAAAATTTCATCCTTTCAAAAATGGGGCTCTGATGAAAACCTTGTGCTGATACTTGCTCTTGGAAATCTTTGGATTTCTCCTTATCAGAAAGAAAATGCCTTGATAGCAAGCTAATCATGGAAATTCTTCAGCATTCATCTTGTGTATTATATGGAGATATTTAAACCTTTTCACTTCTCCAATTTCAGGTTGGATAAATGACTCCAGAACATGAGTTCTAAAGTGATTTCAGTGCCCCAAAATTACTTCAGTGTGGCATTTGGACATTCCAAAGTGGTGTCTCTGATTTTCAAGATACACAGAGCTGAATCTCTGGACTTCAAAAACTCTATCTGAAACATCCAACCTCAGGGTTATTGTAGGTAAGCTATAATACCATGCACTTGTCTTTGCCCTCTCTCTTTTCATTTCTATCATTTCTTATTATCATGATAGAATAATATATGAAAATAGAATCAGACATACCTGAAGTTCAAATCTAAGTATTTGCTCTTCTGTAGGTGTATGGCCCTGGACAAAAGACTTAACCTTGAGGAGCCTTAGCTACTCAGCTGTAAAATTAGGATAAAAGCAACTAAATAGCAAGTTTGCTGTCAGCATTAGAGATAATATGTGTGTCTGTGGCACACTTAGACTGCGTGGAGCTGGGGAAGAGCTGCCCCCTCAGCCAGAGGTGAGCTGAGAGGCCCCCACAAGCCCAGCCTGTCTGGCCACCACTCTGAGCACAGAGGGGGATCCAGCGATTTGGAGCCTAACGGGTGATCCTGCCACCACAGTGTGGACCATGGGAGCATAAGTCCCCCCACTTGGAATTAAACAAATACAGAAGGAGGACATTCTCTGAGACAGTGATCACTAACATATTCATAGTACTACTGCCCTACCGGAATTCAGACATAACAGTTTTTGACTCCACTGGACCACTAGATTCCGACATTCCAGAAAAAGCACACCAAAAAGATGCCGGCAAGTACCAGCAACACAGTGTCCCAATGCATAGGACAAATAAGAAAATAAGCAGCAGAGAGAAGAAAAACTACATGCAACCAAGTAAGTCCTCAGGAAAAAGACACACCACCAAAAGAAAATCACCCACCAGATTGCAACAACAGTGACTTGGAAGAACTTCTGAGACTTCCAGAAGAAGAATTTAAAATTGCTGTGATTAAAAAACTGACAAAAGTCATTAAGGAAAACAACGACCAGGAGAATGAAATTGAGTCCATAGTGAGGGAAGTGAAGGAAATGCAGGAGCTCAAAGGTATTAATGGAAGAGCTAAAGAAATCTGGAAAGGGCCTCCCCAGTGGCGCAGCGGTAGAGCGCTGGTTTGTGAGGCTGCCTGCAGCCTCTACAGTGCTGGTTCGATCCCTAGCTGCTGGGTGAGGGTGCCACATGGTGGGCAGACCTCTCCTGCTGCCCGCTGCTCCCCTCAGCAGTGTACTTCGTCAGTCTGCCTATTCTGCTTTCCACTCTGGCTCTGGTGAATTCTCTCACCCTCCCACGCTTCTGACTGTGCCCAGTGCTTGTATAAATAAATAAATAAATAAATAAATCTGGGAAACTCTGGAAAAAGAAGTGATAACAGAATAGATGAAATGGAAGAATAAATAAGCACTATCAAAGACACAGAAATAAAAAAAGAACCAAAACAGAAAAGGAAAAAGAAGTATGACTGCCAAACACTGAAGTAAGACTTCAGGAACTATCTGACTCCATGAGGAAAGGAAATATAAGAGTTATAGGAATCCCAGAAGGAGAGGAGAGAGACCTAAGAACAGAGAAAATATTCAAGGAAATGATTTAAGAGAACATCCCAAATGTGAAGAAGGAGCTGAAAATAGACTTACAAGAAGCAAGAAGAACACCAAACTTCCATGAGGAAAGGAAAAATACAGCAAGACACATAATAGTAAAGCTCCCAAGAATCCAAGACAAGAAAAAAAAAATGAAGCTGACAAGAGGGAAGAAACAGATAACATACAAAGGAAAACCAATCAACTGACATCAGACCTCTCCAAAGAAACACTATGGGCAAACAGAGAGTGGAGGGACATAGTCAACAGACTCCAAGACAACAAATGCCAACCAAGAATACTTTATCCTGCAAAGCTTTCCTTTGTATATGAAGAAATAATAAGGACCTTCCCAGACAAACAGAAACTCTGGAATTTCATTAGGACTAAACACCCACTCCAAAAAAAATACTACAAGGAGTCCTAAAGCCAGAACCAACAGAGGGATGAACAACAACAAAACAAGGCCAAAAAAAAAAAAGAAAGAAAGAAAGAAAGAAAGAAAGAAAGAAAAAGAAAAGGAAAAAATCATTAAAAGAATGAATAAATAAAATCAGAGGAAAGACAAAGAAAATGGAAAATGCAGACACTAACACATCAATATAAACTCTAAATGTAAATGGACTAAAATCTTCAATAAAAAAGACACAGAGTCACAAGCTGGATTAAGAAGCAAAACCTAACCTCTTGCTGTCTCCAGGAAACACATTTAACTACAAAAGGTAAAAATATACTGAAAGTAAAAGGATGGAAAACATCCTACAAGCAAATGGACCAAAAAAGAAGGCAGGAACAGCTATACTTATATCAGATAAAACAGATTTTTAACTCAAAAACTTATAATCAGGCCCACACGGTGACTGCATCATGATCAAGAGGACAATACTTCAAGAAGAAATAACACTCATTAACATATACTCACCAAATGAAGAAGCACCAAAATATATCAGGCAACTATTATCATCTCTGAAAACAGACATCAGAGAAAACACATATGTAGTAGGAGACTTCAACACACCACTATCGCCAATGGATAAATAAATGAGACAAAAAATAAGTAAGGACACTAAAGCTCTAAATAAGGATTTAGAGCTCATTGGCTTAACAGACATCTATAGAACACTAAACCCAAAAAAAAATCTGAGTACACATTTTTCTCAAGCGCACATGGATCATTCTCCAGGATCGATCACATACTGGGACATAGGACAAACATCAACAGACTCACCTAGATTGAAATCATACCAACCATCTTCTCTGAACTTGAAGGCATCAAACTAGAAATAAACCATAAAAAGAAGGCAAAAAACACTTCCACCTCATGGAGATTGTAACCCACACTACTGAAAGACCACTGGACTAATGAGGAGATCAAAGAAGAAATTTAAAAAAAAATACTTTGAGTTGAATGACAAGGAGGACACCAATTTCCTAAATGAATGGGATGCAGCAAAAGCAGTAATAGGAGGAAAACAGATAGCAATAGAAGCTTACATCAGGAAATAAGAAAGAACTCAAAGAAACAACCTAATCACAAAACTCAAAGAACTAGAAAAAGAACGACAACAACAACAACAAAAAACACGGTGGAAGAAAATAAATAATAAAAATCAAAGCTGAAATAAATGAAATTGAAACTAAAAAAAAAAAAAATCCAAAAGATCGATGGAACCAAAAGTTAGTTCTATGAAAAAATAAATAGACAAACCCTAGCCAGGCTCACAAAGGAAAAATGGGAGAAAGCACAAATAAATAGGATCACAAATGACAGAGGATAAATCACAACAGACACAGCAGAAATCAAAAGAAAAATCAGGGTCTCCCCGGTGGCGCAGCAGTTGAGCGCTGGGTTGGGAAGCTGCCCGCAGCCTCTGTGGTGCTGGTTCAATCCCTGGCTGCTCCCCTGCCACCAGAGGAGGGTCCCACATGGCGCACAGACCTCTCCTGCTGCCCACTGCTCCCCTCAGCAGGTTACATCAGTCCTTCTGCCTGCTCTGCTCCCCGCTCTGGCTCTGGTGAATTCTCTCACCCTCCCCAGCTTCTGACTGTACCCAGTGCTTGTACAAACAAACAAACAAACAAATCTTTTAAAAAAAAGAATAATAAGAAACTACTATGAACAGTTATATGCAAACAATCTCAACAATCTAGAAAAGATGGACAAATTCCTACAACTCTACAAAGCTAGATAAAGAAGCTAGATAATGAACCTAGATAAAGAAGAATTAGAACACCTGTTAAACAGACCAATTGTAAGCAGCGAAACAGAAATGGTAATCAAAAACCTCCCCCAAAACAAAAGCCCAGGACCAGGTAGATTTATAAATGAATTCTTCCAAACATTCAGAAATGAATTAGTGACTATCATTCACAAACTCTTTCAAAAAATGAGAAGGGATAATACTAAACACATTCTATGAAGCCGACATTATACTAATACCAAAACTGAACAAGGACAACACAAAAAAATAAAACTACAGGCCAATCTATCTAATGAACACAGATGTAAAATTCCTCAATAAAATTTTAGCTATCAGAATCCAACAATGTATCCATAAGATAATTCACCATGACCAAGTAGGATTTATTCCAGGGACACAAGGATGGCTCAACATCCAAAAATCAATCAATGTTATCCAACACATCACCAAAAAGAAATGTAAAAACCGTATGATCATATCAATGGATACTGAGAAAGCTTTTGACAAAGTACAATACCCATTTATGATAAAGGCCCTTGAAATTCTCTGGATACAAGGAACATACCTCAACATCATAAAGGCCATATATTGCAATCCCATAGCCAATATCATTCTCGATGTTGAAAGCTAAAAGTATTTCCAATAACTTTGGAACAAGACAAGGTTGACCACTCTCATCACTGATTTTCAATATAATACTGGAAGTCCTAGCCAGAGCAATAAGACAAGGGAAAAACACACAAGGAATCCAAATAGGGAAGGAAGAAGTTAAACTATCACTATTGGCAGATGATAGGATAATATACATAGAGAACTCCAAAAACTCCACAGAAAAACTAATTTAATTAATCAGTTTACTAAACTGGCAGGATAAAAAATCAACACACAAAAATCAGTAGCCTTCCTATACACAAACAATAAATCTGAAGAAGAAGAAATAAAAAATACCATCCCTTTTATTATTGAAACAAAAAATCAAATAATTGGGAATAAACCAAACAAAAGAGGTAAAGGACCTATACAAAGAAAACTATAAAACACTGTGAAAAGAAATAGAAGAAGACACAAAGAAATGGAAAGATGTTCCCTGCTTATGGTATGGAAGAATTAACATTATCAAAATGACCATCCTACCAAAAGCAATTTACAGATTCAATGCTATTCCAATAAAAATTTCAATGACAGGGCCTCCCCCATGGCGCAGCGGTTGAGCGCTGGGTTGCAAAGCTGCCCGCAGCCTCTGCAGCACTGGTTCGATCCCCGGCCACTGGGTGAGGGTCCCACATGGTGGGCAGACCTCTCCTGCTGCCCGCTGCTCCCCTCAGCAGTGTACTTCGGTCCTTCTGCCTGCTCTGCTCCCTGCTCTG